TGCCACGCACCCCAAAGAAGCATGATTCTATTTTCGTGGTTGTCGATCGTTTCTCGAAAATGGCTCACTTTATCCCCTGTAGCAAAACATCGGATGCGTCCAAGGTTGCCATGTTATTTTTTAATGAGATTGTCAAACTGTATGGGCTTCCCAAGACCATCGTGTCCGATAGGGACGTTGGCTTCACTAGCTATTTTTGGAGGACTTTGTGGCATAAGATGGGTACCAAATTAAAATTTTCTACAGCCTACTACCCTCAAACTGACGGTCAGACCGAAGTTGTTAATCGGAGTCTTGGTAACTTATTACGTTGTCTGGTCCGGGAGAACCTTCGGAATTGGGATTTAATCCTTCCGGTCGCTCAAATCGCGTATAATAGCTCCGTAAATCGTTCATTAGGTATGAGTCCATTTGAAACCGTTCACGGATACAAGCCTAGGAAACCATTAGATCTTATCCCTATGTCCCCACAGGCTAGAGTGTCAGTATCAGCCGAAGCATTTGCACAACACCTTCGTGATTTGCACATTGAGATCAATAACCAACTTGAAGCTAGTAATGCAAATTATAAACTACAAGCTGATTTACATAAACGACACATTGAGTTTAATGTTGGGGATTACGTTATGGTTCGCATTAGGCCAGAGCGGCGTCTACATGGACCCGTCTCCAAATTGCAAGCTCGTAGTGCTGGTCCTTTTAAAATTTTAAAGCGAGTTGGTCCAAATGCATATATTGTCGACATTCCATCCCACATTGGTTACCACCATACTTTCAATGTTGAAGACCTTGTAGCTTATAAAGGCCATTTCATTCCCTCAGATGATCCCTTGTTACCTCCTTTTGTGGACCTTGATTCTAATTCTTTGGCCCCCTCTAACTCACTACCACCTCTCACAGCACACACAGATAAAATTGATGCTATTTTAGATGAAGAAACTGTGTTCACTAATAATGGAGAGGTTCAGCGCTTCCTTGTTCCTTGGGTTGGTCGACCAGATTCTGATTGTGCATGGATTTCCAGGAAGACACTACAGCATTTGGATCCAGATTTGTTAGAGCTTTATCGGAGTCAGCAGGATCTTCCTTGGCCCAGATCGCCTCCCGTCCACCCGAGGGGAGTTGGTGAGGACACCAGGTTCAGACCGCCACTGACGCATTTCTACAGACGCAGGAAGAAGCTTGCCCAGCCACTCAGCTTATGGTTGGGAGATTGACAGATGCCTATGGTGATATAGCCACTCGATAGGGTCGAGTTTTCTCTCCCACCCTGGGAGAATTGATGAGGACATCCAATTTTAATTAATTTTAGCAATTTTAATTATTTTAGTTGGAATTTAGGTTATTTTAATTTTATGGACTTGTGTATTGGGCTTGGCCCTAGGTTTGCATTATTTTCCAGTATTTAAACCTATCTTACATTGTTATTTGAGATGATGAATTTTGATTGAATAAAAGTTTGGCTAAAGCCCCGTTTCTCCTCTCTGTGTGCTTCCCCGGTTCCTCTCTTCTCCTCTCCTCACTTCCCCCTTCTTCTTTCTCTGTTATTGATACTACATCATTTTTATAAGTAGGTACATAATTTGATTATATGCATTGAATCAGGCTTCTGAGACAGCTTTACTGAAATAAAAGGGCACGCAATGTGAATCTCTGTTACTGCATGGTTGCATCCTTTTTTTTTTTTTATATTGGTAATCAGGTAATTTTATTAATCTAAAAAGAATACACAGGAAATGCATTATCAATTTAAACGAGAAAGAAACAACATGAATTTAGATAGCCCTTCTATAGGATTAGTAGTCGCGGCAGTAAACCAAGTATACATAGTTAGATAAACAGTGGTCTTCAAAATAGTGGCTGTTTCTTTCTCTCCATACACACCATACAATGCATCCCGAGATAAGATCCTATGCAAGCTTGCTATCCTTACAACGAAATTTTCTCCTCAATGCTCGCAACACATCCTTTATACTCCTAGGCAACACCTAATCCATATGTTGAGAAGTTAGAATATTGTTCGATAGCCAACGAACACCATCACAATGAATGTACAAGTGTTCGATCTTCTCCCCATCCCTCTTACACATATAACACCACTCGGTTGTATAAAAACCTTTTCTTTGAAGATTATCCACCTTTTCTTTGAAGGTTATCTATCGTTCACACCTATCCCCTCACAACAATCCACATTAAAAATGCCACTCGTGGAGCTAATTTACATCATCACACCATCTTCTAGAAAAAAATGAACTCTCAACAGGTCCCAAAAGGGATCTGAAATAAGTGCGAACTGAAAAAATACTATTCCATGCAAAACCTCTTCTTGCTATGATCACCTTTTCCTACCCGAATTTGCATCTCAAGCAAACAGGTCAAGAACAGTGCATAATCATCCAATTCTCAATTCTGTAAACCCCTCCCAAAAATAATATTCCAGCTATAATTCCAATTGTGAATGTCTAATCGATCGTTCACCATAATAGAATGCCTCAGGGCAATGCGATGCAAGGAAGGAAATCTCATTTTTAACGGTTGATCTTCACACTAACAATCATCTCGAAATCTAATATTATTATCATTCCTCACTGCAAAAGTCAGTCTGTCCTGGAAGGCACTTCATCCTCGTCGGATATACCTCCATAAACTCACCCAATAAGAACTACGAACCTCAACTAAGCACCAACCCCTCTCGATCACACCATATTTCGCCCATATAATTTCCTTTCGAAAACTTTCCCTCTCCACTCCAAATCACCACAACTATTTGCCCAATAAAGTCTTATTAAACAAAATAAGGTTCCTCAATCCAAGGCATCTCGTCCTTATAGGAGAGCGAACACCATCCTGACTAACCAAATGAACTTTCCTCTCCTCCCTAGCCTTGTCCAAAGAAATTTCATTTGAATCCTCTCTAATCTATATTTGCCAGATTTCAACAGACTTATCTTCCATCAAGACACCGCTTCAAAGCATAGAAGCAAACAACACAAGTTTTTGAATTTCTCATCACCTGCATCTCAAAATATCAGCATATCATCTGCAAATAACAAATGGGACACTTGCACGTGACCAACCGTAAGGCCCCTTATCAAATTCTTCCCCATAGCTTTCTCTAGCATCCTACTGAAAGCCTTCATTACAGTAACAAACAGTAGTGGAGACAAAGGATCCCCTTTCATCAAGCCTCTGCTGTTCTGAAAATAACCCTCAAGATTAGTATAAAAACTGTAAGTTTCAGAGAACTCATGATTCACAAAATCCAACCTCTTTGGCTAACGAGTGAAATGAGATTCTGGACATGAGAAAAAGAATCATTGTTTTCCTCCAGTTATAACTGCCACTTCGCAGCCAAATAAAAGTTCCTAATTAGTCAAAGAAACGCTGGATGTTTGCTTTACAACTTTTTTTCAATGTAAAGATGTGGATATAAGAAAATATGTAGGAGTCAGAATACAAAGTGGCTGTTTAATTTCAATCTAATACATTCTTTTCTTTTATCATTATTTTATAACCCAATGCTATTTTGATAAGGATCCTTTACTCCAATACTATTTTCAATGATCTTTTTATGATCCAACACTTCTCTTGCAATGCACTTTGAAACTCTACAGCTTGATGTCACGTCTCACACGAATCTGAAATAAGCCACTAGATACTCAAAAGAGATAAAGTTCATTTTTGATCTCCTATGCTTGCAATTTTGCTATAACTAGTCTTATTTCTTCTTTAGTGGTCTTGTGCTTGATGAGGATTTCATAACTCTTCCACTTCGACTTTTATTTTTAGATCTACATATTTGTTTGAGCCCCATTTGGGGGAAAATGCTTTTTTGAATAATGTATTGATAGGAAATGTGTAGTTAAAAAATAAGGAAAAGTTTTGAATTGTGTGTAATATTATTTTATTGAAGAATGTGTAATTGAAATGATATCAAAACATTGTTTAAGAATATATATTTTTTTTCTAATGAATGGGGCTTAAACAAGGGCCTAATATTCCACTTGCTATTTACACAACAAATTCCACCAATGATGATACTTTAGTTCACCAATGTCTCTGATAAGACATATCCATCCCGACCTTTGAAAGACCATTTAATTAATGAAAAAAAGTTTCTTACGAGCTTATGATTAAAAGCTAGATGTTCCTACCTTAACTAGCAGGTTTTAGCCATCTAATATTTGGTTTTCAGGTGGATCATAAGTCAATCCCTAGAGAAAATAATACTGGTTCACATCTTTCATTCTGAGATACTTTGAAACTTTTCAATGTTAGCCTTTCAAAAATAATTATTGAATTTTAGCTTTATTTTGACTTGGAACATTAATTTTGGAAATTTGATAATTTAAGGTTATTGTTTCATTAGGTTTAGTCTGTCATTATTCCCCCCCTTAGAAATACATGATAAGAGTGCAGCTATGCTAAAAAATAATAGGAGCATAAGGGAGATTGATTAACCAGTATATTGGTTTGTGACATTTTACAAAAAAACCAATATGATTTCAGTTTCTGTTTGTAAACTTTACAACCAGAACAAAACAATCGTGATTTAATGAGGAACAAATAGATTGAGAAGAATATAAAAGTATAGAATAAAATTCTCTTGGAGCTAATCAAAATTACAAGCTTGCTAGGTCTTCTACGTCTCTACAGCTAAATTCTAAAATTTTATAGTGCTTCCATTTTGTTTTATATGTTAGCGGAGCGCGTGCCACTCATTTGAATTAGTTTCCAAAGTGTTTGACTTAAAATTATAATGTTCTGATTCTATGTGCTACTGCATTGTGTAACATAAAAAATACGTAAGAGTTTGACCGATTAATTATCAAGACAAAATAAATTGATGATAGTGAAAGGATACAAAATAATAATCATGGAATGTACCTATCAAAAAAAATAATCATGGAATGTGTAATTAACTTTTTGTGATCTCTATTCTATGTTTCTGCATATTTTGTCCCATAACTCAAATTGTTGATGCTGTTTCTGCTGAGCAGAGGCAGTCGAAAGGTGGCGCAAGGAAAAACTAAAACAGGCAAAAAGACTTGTCCGTGGGAAAACCTTGAATACCACAATATTGCCCGAGGATGCCGGTACTAATATTTCTGGTTTAGAATATTCCTCTTGACCTTAAGTTAATTGGTGTTTAGAATTATTCGTTAGCGCAGTTAAACATCTCAGTTACTATTTTGTGTCTGTAGGTATTATTGCAAGAGCTTTGAGTTCTGATTGGGCCCACTTGTCAGAAGAAATGGGGCTCTGGATACCGCTTGAAGTCATTAATAAAGAACATGATGACAAACCCGAGGGTGAAGAGGAGTTTGGTAACAACTTATTAATTCTTTTCCTAACTCTGAGTCGACTTTTAAATAATTTATACCCACTATCCTGTATAGAACGTATATCTTAATAATTAACTGTTATTTATTTTTGTACTTGTTTATTAACTTGTTTGCTTTGAATTTGATGTACATTTTTACTTTTACACTGTCAACTATCCAGACAGCCGAATCTTGCCTGGCAGACAGCTCCCTCCCGAATGCCATGCCGAAATTCATACGGACTATGGTGGTGCTGCTGTAAGATGGGGCCTTACTCATCCTAAAGAATCTGCATATGAATGTTGTATGGCGTGTTTGAATCAAGCTAAAGATGCCAAACCGGGAGCAATTAAATGTAATATTTGGGTTTACTGCCCATCTGAGACTGGATGTTACTCTCCAGATATTTATGAACACAAAAATCAAGAGTGCTGGCTGAAATATGTAAGTATTCGCATGCTTTGTCATTAAGCTGATTTTGTTTATGCTTATTTATTTATTTAGTTATGTTATACTACATGGAAAAGAAATCTTTTGCAAGGGATAGAATAATGTCTACTCGAGTTAAAGAAAAACAAATGGAACTACTGTGCTATTGCTTGCCAACCCACTATTCAAGTAGCAAGTTGGTATTTAACCTATCATTATTGTTGCTCAATTAATACCCAATGATAGAAACCATCCAAATTTTGTTAAAAATAATTAAACTAAGTTTATGAACATAGGTTTTGTTTCCCAGCTTGAGCTGGTGCCCATAAATTCTGACTGATGCATGTTCCCATAAGGACTATGTGAAAGTTTAACGAGGATTTTGACTGTTTGTGTGCCAGTATAGTGAAAGGTCAACTTACTCCAATAAGATGGGAACTTAACTTGCTACTCGGAAAGTTTGGAGTAATGGTGCAATTTTCCAAAAATGAATCTACTAGAGAGAGATAAGCTACCCTTGGTCACCTATACCTTAAACCCGGGAATGTGCTTGCGCCCGTATAGTTTGACGGCTGCAAGTAAAGCTTTGATATAGTCTAGTAAAAAGGTCGGTTTGGAACCAGATTTCCCCAAAAACAGATCGGCGTTGGTCATTGGTTTGACAACTAACATTTTTTCTTGTTTTTGTTGTCAAATGCAGGATGAGAAACCAAAATTGAGTTTTAAGGACAGGTACTCGGAATCATATAGAAATGCACACCCAAATGCACCATTGATCGTTCCATGGGTGTCTGGCGTGGTCAGCGTGTAACTTTTATTCACCAACAACTAGGCAGCAAGACTGAAAGTCTTGATGGCAAGTTATAAACTCTGATATATCATGGGATTTTACAAATGCCCAGATGGTGCGAAGTGTAGTACGATCTCTATTCATGCAATTCTCAAGAGTTGAGTTGAGTTGAGTATTAGTTACTCCTTCATTTCGTTCTGCTGTCTTTTGTAGGCCTTTGAGCATTTGGGTTTTTTATTTTTGTATTACATGATGGTAAATTTGGTGCTGATGAGTGATGGCTTTGAATTGTAAAGTTAAGCGCTGAGGATAT